CACTCCACATCAAACAGCACTCTCCAACACTGAACAACATGCAGTCTTCATTTAAATTATACATTTTTTAATATGTTCGTATTACTGATTTTACTTTTTTTTCCGTTGTGTTTTCTTACTACAGTTTCTCCCCATGATTACTGTTTAGTGTTTTATTTGTTTAATTATCATTATATTTAGCAACTGTAGTTTGAAAATGTATAAAGACTGATGTAAATTCATTTTATTCTGCTTTAGATACTGAAGATGGAATCTGATAGAATTCCGAAAAATTTATCCATGTCCCCTTTTTGTCAATAAACAATGTTGTATATCATAAGTGTCGTAATCTTGTTTATAATCATAAAGGCAATATTTTGGAATAGTTGAAATAATTGGAAACACCAATTTTAATAAGTTGATTATTTTCATGACACTAATAAATTAAATTGCTATTTCTATTAATTACGTTAATCTCTCAACTCTTACTGTGAATGCAGTTTGCTAGTTTTTGTGTGTGTGTGTGTGTGTTGGGGGGATGTATTTGACTGGCAATAATATTGATTTTGATGAATGTGATTTTTCAAATAAAGTTCTTAAATTATTTTTATATTCTTAGAATCATGACAGTGTGTCTTAATAAGGAATTTTTTCTTCACTACAAGCACAACTGTGTAACTCCCAAAGGTTCACTTTTACAAGGCAATTTAACTGAAGAATTGTTAATTTTTGTACGCAGATTTCTTGAAAGTGTTACTTTATAACACTGATGTAATTCTGTACATTGTTTCCAGCTCATTATTTTCATACATAGTTTTAATCTCAATCATATTTTTTTTTCTTTCTTCAGTACTGAGGGTATTATCTACATCAGGGCTTCTCCACGGGGTTCCATAGAACCCTCAGCTTCTTCAACAGACATCCAGGGGTTCCACAAGATAATGGGGTTCCACAGAATGCCAGAGTTCTGCATATTCTAATGTGTAAATACATACTGGTCACATTATTGCAATCCGACTACATTATATTTCTTTATTAGTATTGTGGGTTTCATAATGACGCAATATAACAACAAGTCATTGCATTGTTTTAAATTAGTGAGTGAGACTAGGTACAAACAGCTGCTAATATTAAGGTAATGTTTTTTGTAGTGAATGCTGCGAAGGGTTTCATGATACTAATTTGATGCGAAAGGAGTTCCACGAATTCAAAAAGGTTTTGAAATACTGATGTACATTACATATTTCTTACTAAATCTTTGTTTTGAATTTCCTTTAATGTAGTTTCCTTTTCACTTCTACCTAACAGTGGAGAAATTTGTTTTCACTCCTCTTTGTGTGAACAGCTAGCTCAAAGATTTTTCATCTGGTTTTAATTAAGTTTGGTACAAAGGTTGAGTGTCCCACAAAGACCAATTGATTAAATTTTGGTGAATGTGGATCAAATGTCAAGGTCACACTTAAAAGTCAACCATTGTTGTTATAATGGTAGCAAATTGGGATTTTTTAGCACCTACATGTACATTTTTGAACATGAAGAATTTTTGTATGTGTGTATATTGTAGGTTGTTTGTTACAAAAGTCAAAGTATTATGGGGTGGGGTTGCACTCTGTGAGTGTTTTTCTAGTTTGTATTTCATTTAACTGAATAGTACTAAGTTGTGTGAGGCTACTAGTTTTGTCTTGTATAATGCAACATTTTGGGTGAAAGTTGGCCTATGTTATTGTGAATTATTTGTTAAGTATTATTAAGTATTAAATATGGATCAGCTACAGTGATTAATCATATTCTAATAGTTGATAACTGTAGTTGGTTATAATACATGTAATGCATTCTGGAGGCATACTTTTTGAGCCTTAAGAAACAATTATGCACTGTAGGCTTAATTTCCAGAACAAATTATACCTTTGAGGAACATTATAAATAAAGGAATAACACTTATAACATTGATTTAAAAAAAAAAATTCAAACTACTAAAAACACTTCTTTTGTTTTTCCTATAAATAATGCAAAAATCAACATCTCAATAGCAATTTTAGCTACACTTGTTATTTATAATACATTGAACTTCATAAACGTTTTTTATAATTTTCAAGATTCAGCGTATGAGCTACTAATTTTGAAGCACTGTATTTTTGATTTCTTTGTTTTAAGATCTTTGGTTGAAAGAAGAAAGGGTAAAAACATGGCATAACAATGAGTGATTTGTTCCTGCAGAGCCTTCACCTAGCCAGCCATGTTAGGGAAGCTGTAAGTTTAGCTGTACTTTTTTACTTTTTGTGGTAGCCTTAAAATAATTTTTATAAATAGATAAATTATCTTAAAACTTAAGTATCCCTAGCAAGAAGTAGAAAGTTTAGAGAAAACATTATTCTCTTCTTTTCATATTTAAACTTCTTAGCATTTTATAAGTTTTATGTTCATATTATGGCCAGGATGGCAATTAACTTTGAACTTAAATCAGCTGCTCCACTGAATCTTAGAGCCAAATTAATATCAGTTAGTTTGCTATTATAAATTAAACATGAAGTGGTCCCATTGTTATTCCTAAGAAATGGAATATTTTGATATGTTCGAACAAAATTATTTTTTATACCATTGCTAAGAGAAATTCTCCAACTTCAAAATGTCATTTTTATATGATAATTTATGAATGCTTTTATTAATAAGAAAATGTAATATTGGAAAACTGCTTCCTGTGCTTGATGGGAGAAGGTTGATCAGTTGAGTATCAAATAATATTATTCACTTTCTTTCATTTAAGGATGACCAACGATCAGCTTTGCGAAGAAGAAACATTCTTGTTCTTATACATCACTACTTAAAAGAAAATGGGTGTGTATATGTTTGTAAAATTATTCATTCTTGTTCGTACAACATACTTCATATAGTTCATAAAACACTTCAAATAACATAGATGAAGGAATGGTCAGTTGATTATTTAAATTAGCTGATGACATTAAAGTTTTGGATTTTATTGGCTCTGAGAAGGATGCTACAAATTTACAAAAGGACTTGGATTATTTGGTGAGTTAGGCAAATAAATAACAGATGGCTTTTGATTATAACAGATGGAATGTAATGCATATGGTATAACACAAGTTGAATTATGGGTATATTTTTGATGGAAATGACTTTTACAGTGTTATGGAATAAAAAGGTCTTGGTGTTCTGATTCATCAGTTTTTTAAGCCATCCAAGCAATGTGCTTGTAGAACAAATAGGATTTTAGGTAGTATCTACAGAAATAATGAATATGACTCTAAAGAGTTTATAATGTCATTGTACTGGTTGGGCAAAATTTGGAGTAATGTGTTCAGTCTTGGGCTCCTTATCTTAGAAAGGACATTGAATTGTTGGAAAGAGTTCAGTGGAGGTCTACAAGGATAATACTTGGAGTGGAAAAGTTGTCACCCAAGCATATTTTAAAATTTTTGAAATTGTTTTCCCTTGAAAAATAAAATGAGATAGGGAATTGGATTGAGGTGTCTAATATTGTTAAAGGAATTGATAGTGTTGATACATCATCATTTTTCATATATAATGGTTAGAATGGTAAGATTAGGGCACACAGATGCAAATTTTGACAGCTTTGTTTTTCTAACAGTGTGGTTGGCATCTGTAAGGTTGCCTTTGAATGTGGTGGATACAGTTAATTTAAGGGAGTTTAAAGGAAAGCTTGATAAATATTTGAATGATAAGTGTTGGCTTTAAGTTTCTTAGGGTTTAGTTTAATTTAGTGGATAGGATGGCCTAGATGGACCAGAAGGTCCCTTGTTGCCCAATAATGTTATATTACATGAAACTGATACAAAATCATTAAAACTGACATCTATACATAGGACTTTTACACTAATTTGCATATGTACGTACATACATATTTACTGTTTATTTGCTTTTTATTTGGTAATGAAACATAATCTTCAGACCATAATACTCAGCTCTCCACAGAACAATTAGCTATTGTCTTGGGACTACTGCCAAAAAGATTTTGTGCATGTGCAAAGCTATTGAAAGATATCTCACCTCTGCACATAATAATGTTAAAGTTTCTAATATGCATTGTTATCTCTCTTAAATTTATTTCTTTAAAAGCAAGAAAGATATAGAATCAAATCAATTAATTCCATTTCTTCGATCTTTTTAATATGAATTCTTATATCCATGGTTTAGCTACTCCTCAACAGAAGCTGTCTTCTATATCAGTCGTGAGTGATGTTACTGCCACTGTACATCAAATGGCTTATTTTAATCTACTTTCTTCAACTCATACCTGTTTCTTTAGCTTCTGCTGAGTCTGCAATGTCTTTGGATGATTTTGTCCAGCTATTCCCTTTGCCTATCTTTGCTTCTTGTCTTTTGCCATTCTGAGATCTCAGGTTTGTGACATTTTTTGTTAACTTGTTTTTTTTGGGGGGGGGATTTGTCATACTTTCTGAACTTAAGACTTCCTCAGTTTTATGTCAGGGAACTCTTATTTGGTGCCCTTGTATCAATAATTTGTTTGAGGAATTCCTCAGACTCAGAATTTATAAATGAGGCAGCTCATCAACAGTTGTATCTGCTGACTCTGGTTTCCTGCTTATCTAGATTTAAGAGGACCCAGCAGGTTTCTTGTCCTTGTGGGCATAGTCATTACCCCACCATCTTGCTTCTCCTGTGGTCCTTTCCTGGTATTCCCCCCTCCCAAAAGGCTGGATGTTGAAAGGCTCTGAAATGATTTGTTTCTAGAGCCACTGTTTGGATTGGTCCTATGGGAGATTGACTTTCCCTGTCTTTTGGCACTTAGGCCCTTTATATTTATGTGTTTTCAAACTGGGTGTGGGGCCTGGCATGGCCAGGTGGTTAGGGCACTCAACTCCCTGTCCCACCAAACATGCTCACCCTTTCTGCCATGGTGGCATTATAATGTGATGGTCAATCCCACTATTCATTGGTAAAAGAGTAGCCCAAGAGTTGGTGGTGGGTGGTGACTAGCTGCATTCCCTGCCCACTATTGAGAAGAGGTTTTCTGCAAGACTGTTTTGGCACTTATTTTTTTTATTACCTTGTAACTTTGTGGGAAAAGAAAAGTGGTTAACTCAATAAGACAGTGTTTTAGTGAGGTACCTTATGCAAATGATTTCTGGTGGGGGTCCATGCTCCTCTTCATTGTTGTCCTCCATGTAAATTTCTCCTCTTGACCTCTTCTAGTGAAGCAGGAGAACCCTTTATTTCTAAGTACTAAGTTGTAAGGTGGGGTGATATGGAGAATACTCCTTTAGGTTGTTGTAGTCCTACTGTGATGAGACTGAGTAGATGCATCCCACAGGTGGAAACAGGACAGTGTTGTCAACCTACAAAAGTAGTACAGGCTATCTCAACACTAAGAACAGACCACTCCCAGTGTTTGTGATAAGCCAGATGGGTCTTGAGATCTTCTCGGGATACAGGTCTGAGAAGATTCACCCCTGAGCTTGCATATTCTTAGAAATATTTCAAGTAAGTATTTCTTACATACTTTATGGCTTGATATATTGTCCTAGCCACACTCAATCCCTATGGTATATTGATATATATAGTGCAATTAAACAGTTTTGACCACCTTTTCAACAATTTAGCAAAAATAAGGGTGCTCTTTTAACAGAACATTTCTGAACTACACCTTTCTGTATTGGGTGAAGAGATGGATGTTGTCTGTCACTGATTGCTGCTCCTACTACCCCCCCCCCCCTCAATGAAGACACTTCATATGTTGTCCCTTTCTGTCATTATGGGATTCTAGCTGATTTTCTGTGGAGAGGTGAGCAGTGTAGTCCAAATTTAACATTTACTTTACGTAAAAGTAAAACCAACTACCTAACCTCCCTACTTCTATTTGCCATATCAAGAATGTGCTTTCGATTTACACAAAGTGCTCAAGGGGAATACTGTGTAAGGAGGTTCTATTGCCATCCTATTGGTGAAGAAATATAGTCTAATATCGATTGCAACATAGACTAGCATAGCACATATTATTATGTGGAGGACTTGTTGAATGTGAAAAGCATTTTGGCAGTAGCCATGAGACATTTGCTACATTTTCTTGGAGAGGTATCTTTCTGAAATGCCCCCAGTGGCATAGCGGTATGTCTGCAGAATTACAATGCTAGAATCTGGGTTTCGATACCCGTAGTGGGCAGAGCACAGATAACCCATTGTGTAGCTTTGTGCTTAATTACAAACAAACAAACTTTCTGAAATACACTTCCAGATAGGGAAAAATATTTATTTCTTTAGCACCCTATAACCCTTATAACAAAGGAGTTAACTCTGTCATTGTTGGAAATAGTAAAATATATATTCATAAAGGAGTACAGAGATTAGTAGGCATTCACACTGCTCAAATTTAAGGTCCATACCATGATTAACCATACACTTCAATTTTAGAAGGAAAGTGCTTTCAAAATGAAAAGTTAATGTGTTTTGCTATTGTCAGTTTAAACCAAAGGCAAAGTTCTGAACCTATGATCTTACTTTCTGTTGCCAAATTATAATGTTTGACAAAGTTGCTTTTGTTTATAATTTTGTTGATTTATTTATCTTGAAAATTAACCAGAATTCTCATTATCCATTTATATGTGTGTGTTTTTGTATAATGATTTCTGTCAATGTGTTTTCTATAGCTGTATCCAATTAAAGCTAACTATGCTATTGTATGTACAACTACCACAAATTAATTTTTACATAGTAATACTGCATGATGTTACAGATTATAAAAGTAATTACTTTAAAAATATGCTATTAATATTTAACCAACACATTCTTGTTTTACAGGATGATGAGGAGGGAAATATTTGTGAAATTTACATGATCAATAAAAAAAAGTCACATTTGTACTATAATGTATCATATTTGCCTTTTAAACTTTGAAGAGGGATTGAATTTGAAACAAAGAAATCTGGTCTCACCCAAAGCTATCTCGACCTTGATTTGCCCCTAAGCATTGCTGACATTTTTCAACAGTACACCAGTCTTTTATACACCTTAATTTTTGTGCCATTGCAGCAATATGTACTGATTATGTGACTACCCTCCACCAATCATACTGTACCACCTATATTAGCGTAGGGGTCTCCCTCTACCACTACAGCACAATCCTCACTTTCTTGATTGGCATTCTAGTGTACATATATGTTTTATTTCATTCCCATGGAACTACAAGATTTTGATTGTGCTTGATCACAACTTTATATCAGTTTCAACTTCACATTTTTACTTCTTGTGTTTGGTTTCCATTGTTTCTACTTATTTGTTTTAGAAATGTTTCTGTTTCCAAATTAAATTGCATATAAATTTGAGATTAAATATGGTGGATGTTGAAATTCCTGCTATAAGCAGAATACAAGTCCCCAGATCTCAGGGATGACAATGTCTGCTGGGGAAGCACAGGCTTTAAATTGAGGGTAGTTTGTGTCTTATGTTCGGCCGGTAACTTTGCCTTTCACTTTACAATTTTTGTGAAGAAGGATATAACTACTGTGTGAAAATAATTGACAAAAATTGCAGTAAAGTAGTTCGTGGAATGCCAGATGGCACTTCATATGTCTATTGTCGAAGTAACTACGTTTACAAAGGAAACAGAATGTTGACTTCCTAACAGGTGTTTCTTTGGCACCAAATGTCCTTTGCTCAAATTCAAAGTCAGATACTAGAAACAATTAAAATAATCCATTGAAATAAGTATCATGTTTACAAATGCTTCCTTGGGGGCTTTCCTTGATTGCCTCGTAATGTATTAGAATTTCAAATGGTCTGAAATTGAGTAAATTGATAATTTAAATTTAGTAGTTAAATTGTACATTGGATTTAGTATT